CACTTCTACAGGAACAGAGAGAAAATCTGATCTGTCTCCTGTTTCAGAATGGAACCACGCAGGAATAAACAGGACCCACTATTATCTGAACACACCCAAGGACTGCAATTCTGTACCATCCTTGCACCATCACTCTACAACACACTCTCCTGTCTCTTCCACAGACCCAGATGACTTCACAGAATTATTCCTCAGAGCACATGGAAGTACCAGTGAAGCACCCAGATATTAGAGCCCTGGATGCATTTAAATTGGATATAATTAGATGCTGGATACTAAAGAGCATAAATCAAATGGAATAGCAAAGACTTGTGGGAATATAGCAAGCATCTTTCCAAGCATCATCGCCTGCTTCAGCCGCTGAGGACTTTAGCTTTTGAAGCAATGATGTGCCCCCCTCCAGTAACAAGCTCTTTCTAGTATCCCTGATGTATCCATTATGTCTATTTTGGGAAATGTCATAATCAAATAATAGGTTTGATCCCTCCATGGAGAGGATGTTTTATTGTATAATAGCTTGGGGCAAAGCTGTCAAAAAGATGAAAGACTGTGACTTAAATCTGTTGTTTTGGCTGCATCAGCTTCACAGATTGCAACTAGTAGTTCTGATCCTGTGTGCAAAGACTTAAAAGTTTTAACTGCAGTCAAAAGTGTTATAGCAGCTCTAGGAAACAAGCCTGAACTGAATTGGTTCCTGTTAGCACTACACTCACACAGCTCAGCACAAACAGCAAAACTGAATCTAGATCCTATATACATATATTCAGTGGATACCTCATGCTGAGCTCTCTTTCACATTGCTGCTGGTACTCACTTAAACCTAGACCAGGTATGTTTTTGTTAGAGGCAATCAGACGCTTGACAAATGAAGATGTATCATTGACTGATAACATGTAGCAAGAAGAACTGTCTCTGAGAAATCAGGCAGTCGATTAGTGGTACTACACAAGAAGCAGAATGGGATGTGTTTTTCCAAGATCGCTTCTTACAAAAAGTACTCCCACAGAAAGTAAAATATGTTGTGATTTTGAGACATCTTTTGTGGTTTATGCTACTTAAGTCTAAGTTGAAATCATTAATACAGCAAGCACAGCCATCTGACTTCTAGGATATTATTGGCTCACTGGGGAGCACTCAGGTTCATCTGCCCCTGCCAATGTGTGTACAGCTGATCCAAAAGATACTGCTTTCTCAGGTGTGATAATACACAGCAAATAGCATTGCAAATACACTCTATTAAAAAATCAGATCAATCCAAAAATCTTGAGTTTGAGTTAAACTCCAAAAGATAAGGTTTTGTTTCTGTGTTTCCTCATAAAAAAAGGCTAGAAATTCTTCTCTATACAGAAATATTTACAGTGATAGAATCTGAGATTGCTAATAAGGTTAGATGGTGGTTTATTCCCAGACATATATAATCTTGGCCTTTAGGAATCCATGTAGAACTATCTCAGTAATATTACATAGCATTGCATTCCAGGCATGAAATGACTGAGAATGCTATTCTCTTTAAAATATTTCTTGTCAGTAAAGATTGAGAAGGTGGACATTTACCTACAGAGGGTTAGCTTTACTGATTTATTCTATAATACTTCATCATAAGTTGCCACGTATTAACACTCAAATAAATATAGCTGAGTTGCTGCTGATATATCAGCAAGCACCTTGAACGATTATATTACAAGGTCTCTTCTATGACTAGGCAGCTTCGCTTCTAAAGGGACTTTAACACTAACAAGGCCTGCAACACAACAGCTGAGACATCAGATACGATTTCAAAAGACATTTTAAAAGACATGTCCAAAATCCAGTTGTGCTAGTTTCTGTAATTTCTCCTAATGCAGAGCAATGCCACTGCTTTCTCTGCCGATACTCACAACACACCGTCAGATTCATCCCTCCTGCAGACTGAGATTCCAGTGTTCTTTTTAAAAAGTCTGTGGGAACAGGAAAAATACTATTTAATATACAGAAAGTTCAAAATAGATAGTGGCAAAAGAAAATGGTCCTGGCTCTAGCTCTCTTTTTCTATATTTAGTAGCAGTTAAGTCAAAAAAAAAAGTCATCAGTTTCCTGGTTATGACAGCTAAAGCTTTCATCCTCTTCCTATGGGGACCCCTTGCTTTCAACAGACATACCAATTCTGTGAGCTCATCTATCCTCTAAAGTACAGAAATAAAAGTTGTAAGACACAGAATGATTATAAAGTCTTTGGTCTGGTAAGATAGGAATTAAAAGGACTAGGAAAAAAAAAAAAAAAAAAGCACCTTAGGGCCCAAACAGACAAGTGCATATCCTCCATTCTCTTTTTAGTCTGGTTGATGTTACATTATACTTTGAATACCAGTTCTCTGCAAGGAATTCACATTCTCCGTCATTAAATGCTGTTGTCATTAATGACTATCTCACTTCAGCCTTAAGAGGAATTCCATTTTCTGCAGAATCTCAGGCAAGTATAAAGTGAGTACAATTATTTAGCAATTATGTACCTAATGCTTCAGACAAGTATCTCTGAACCAAATGCCAGGAGATTCTCATAACCATAGCATACATTATCAGAAACAGCTTAAGGGCTCTAAGTAAACTTTCTACTATACTAGAGTGAAGCAACTACCACTTGAAAGAATACAATCACTCTGACTCTTCTCGAGTATGTCATTTTGTAATGGCATATATTTCTACAAATAGTTTCAAGATGTAGCCTAAAACATATTTGTTACCAAAGAAAGCACAAAGACTTACACAGGGCTCTCAATGATGAGGAGTCTTAATTGTGCAAGGCAAACACCAAATATCTTGAAATGATAAACTCTGGAAGTACTGCATTGCTGAGACAGAAAGTTCTCACACTTTTCCTGGCTCAAAGGAAATTCCAAAAGAATGGGAAACAGTATAGCAACAACCACAGAAAAGAAAAAAAAAAAAAAAGATTTTTTTGGAGGTCTTTAACAATAAAATCTAAGATTTTTGAAAATTAACTCTTCTGTCAGAAATTGAGTGGAATGATTCAGAAGTTACTCCTTCTGTTCTCCAAAGAGGAGTTTTTTTATTTTCCACTATGTGCTTAATGCCACTGTGCCAAAAGGGCGGGAGAAGGACAACTGTGCACATCTGCCCACCCATCCTCAGAACCAATCTTTTATTTGTTTACCTACCAATACTGATAGCAAGCTAACATCGTGAATCCTGACATGAACTTGGACAATCTAAAATTTCTATTATGTACAATTTACAAAGTTATTCCATGGTGTTTTAAGGAAGATAAAAGCAGGAGAAAGCTTTTCAAAGACAATGGCATAGTTGCAGTCTAACTAACTGAAGCACACAGTAGAAATGTTAAACAAACATAGAAGGAAAGCAAAAATAAGAGAACTAAGTTTCTGCATGGATGCCCTAGTAACCATTAATAGACTATAATGGCCCTTATAAGCCTAAGGGGTCAGTCCCAGAAGCTGTATTACATACAGAACCATTTAAGAAGCAATCATTTTAATAACAGAATAATATATGTAAAAT